ATGACGCCGGCCACGTGCGCGCGCGCCACGGGCCGGCGCGGCAGCACGGGCCGCAGCCCGCAGGCCACCATGAGCGCGGCCAGCAGCAGGTCGGCGCCGTAGACCTCGCGGATCCAGTCGCGCAGGTAGAAGCCGCCCATGCGCGGGTTGATCTCGAGCAGGCGCGGCCCGCCGGGGCCCAGCTTGAGCTCCACGTTGAAGACGCCGTCGAGGAGGCCGCACGCCACGCAGCACTGGTGGGCGGCGCGCACGAGCTGCGCCTGCCGGTCGGGCGGCAGGCACGAGGGCAGGCACGCCGCCGTCTCCACGAAGGCGGGCACGCGCGTGGGGCCGTTGTCGGACACCCAGGCGCCCAGCAGCTCGCCCTCGAACACCACCAGGTCCACGTCGTGCTCGGTGCCCGGCACGTACTCCATGAGCAGCAGGGAGTTGCCCCAGCCCAGCCCGATGCCCGGGTGGTCGGCGTCGGAGCGCAGGTCGCGCCAGAGGCGCTCGGCGTGCGCGTGCCACTCGCCGGCGCTGCGCACCAGCCGCACGCCCACGGCGCCCGCGCCGTACTCCAGCTTGGCCACGGCCGGGAAGGGCAGCGCGCCGGCGGCGCGCTCCACGTCCGCGTGGCTCTCCACGTGGCAGCAGGGCACGGCGTAGGCGGCGGGCGGCGGGCGCCCGCGGCGGCACCGCAGCAGGTGCTGGTGCGTCCGGCTCTTCTGCTTGGCGAGGCGCACGGCGGCGGGCGGGCTGGTGCGCAGCCCCAGGCGCTGGCACACCAGCGCCGCCAGCACCACGCAGTCGTCCCAGTAGCAGAGGCAGCCGTGGGGGCGCAGCCCGCGTGCCCGCACCATCTCCGCCACGCGCTCGGCGTGCTCCTCGTCGCGCCGGTGCTCCGTGCTGTCGTAGCGCAGGAAGGTCTCCACCAGCCCCGCCGCAAAGTGCTCCGGGTCGGCCTCCACCAGGTGGATCTGGGACACCGCTGCCGTGTGACCCCGGCGGGCGCCTCCGCGCCCCGCGCGTTCACTCTGAAACCTACTGCCGGCCGCCGCCGGCCCCGGGCGCTACCTTGAGGCGGTAGTCGCGCACCACGTCCCAGACGAAGCTCTTGCTGACGCCGCCCGCCGCGATGAGCAGGATCTCCTTGCCCTCGAGCAGGTGGCACTGCGCCCGGTGCAGCATGAGCTCGGCCAGCTGCAACGCCAGGTCGCCGGCGGGCTGCCCCACGGCGCGCCCCATGGCCTCGGCCAGCCAGCACGTCTCGAGGCAGCGCAGCGCGTTGGCCGAGAGCGCCACGAGCTCCAGCGCGCCGCCCGCGCCGCTCAGCACGAAGTCGACGCCTGCGGGGCGGCGCGGC